AGAACGGTTGATTAAATTTTGATCCAATTTTACTATCAGTGGAAGGAAAGGGGGGGGGAGACAATTAACAGCAAGGTAGATGGACTCCATTACTTTTTGTAATAGGTGCAAGTATCTAAAGGATAGATCATTCTGGAGAAGGTCAATGTGCTTACAAAGAGTCAATACCAGCTTAATACTGTACAATCAATAAATCAGATCTCAAGCTTTCTTCAGACCAACCAATAAACTATTCTGACTAATCTGCTTTTTAAAATAGTATGATATTTTTACTTTAATGACATTGATATATAATATAAAATTTTAATCCAAGCTGAAATGTTCTTCAAGAATGGCTGGGCCATATTCACTTGGGAAACCAGATCTTGTATCAGAATTGGAAGAAGAAATAGGATTTGGGTTAAATGTTCTTCCATCATTTTCAAAGATTTATCCAAAAATTCTAGTAGAAAGCGCCAATTCCACAAGGTTTTCAAGTTTTGTTTATAAGAATTAGTGAGGTCTGCATTCTCTTTAAATTATAACCATTTTCATGAAAATCCATATTCATTCCACTAATTCATGAAAACTAAACCACGTCTACAGTTCATGAAATAACTCTACCATGCCTGACTGTCTTCATTTTTGTGGCAAATATTGTTCCATGGATATTTTTTAATTAAAATATGTCTTCATTTGGAAACCTTCCTGCAAATAAATTCTTTTAAAACAGCTTGCAGTATACTCACACACAGTACCAATAAATTCAGAAAATAAAACAAATATTTATAAGCCTTTCACTTCTAATCAATTTAACAACTGAACTATACATTGAAGAAATGTTAATTAAGGTGACAGAGCATCTTCTTTTATAGATAACTGTTTTCTACTTGGCTGTTGAATGACATTCCTCAATTTAGAGTGCTCTCTACTGGCGGACTATGTAATAATTTCAGAACTCAAAAAAGAATAGGATTTTTGAAATTGTAAAATGAACGATAGCACGCAAACTCCACTAATCACAATCTTTCTGACTGCAGAGAGATACAAATATTTATTTTAGTGATAATGTTTCTAAATTTGCTTTTTAAGGCATAAATTAGCTCATGAGTATTTTATCCAAATCCATGTCTTATTAAATGATGAAGAGAAATACCGTTAGAGTGGCTACTTATAACTTCCCAATCAAATGCATTATTTAATAAGACATGGATATATATATATATATACAAGAGCTCTTTTATATGAAGTGTAAGTAAAAAGGGACATGACCATTTCCCATACTTATGACTGTTGCAGCATCCTCGTGGTCGTGTTATTTACATTTGGATGCTTGCAATAACCTGTGGTCATTTGATCACCTTTTGTAACCTTCTGACAAAAATCAATGGGGAAGCCGGATTCACTTAACAATTGTGTTACTAACTTAATAACTGCAATGATTCACTTAACAAATGTGGTAAGAAAAGTCATAAAATGGGTTAAACATCACTTAACAAATTTCTCTTAGCAACATAAATTTTGGGCTCAATTGTGCTGGTACCACTGAACAAACAAATATGCCAGTACTGTTGATATTGTACTGATAGTAAAATTGGATCAAAATTTAATCAACCGTTCTTCAACCCATTTAAATCACTGCACACAAAAAATCACATTCCCTAATCTGGTGCCCTCTAGGTGTATTTCTGCAACTACAGTTCCAGTCCCATTAACTTCAACAGAACAATACAACACTAATTTAATCTAAATTTACTCCAGAGAGTTAAATATATCTGCTGAAGTATAATTTAAATCTTATTTGTAAGCTGACCTCGAACTTGCCCAAGACATTTTGCTGTTCCAAGCAGCTGTTGTATGTTGGAAAGATGCACATCCGAATCCTTTGAAATTCTCATCAGACGTATGTGGCCTTGGCAACTGACATTGTTTGTTGCCTCTTCAGTCATTCTAACTCTGGGCTCACCTTTAAAAAGACAAATAAAAAGAGGCAATAAAGAAGGGATCCTTTGTGCAGTTTTGGCTTCATTTCTGTTATTTTGGTAAAAGCACAGTTTTATTTAATGTTAGAAGGATCATTGTGCTGGAATTTTAACACAATGTAATGATCATTTAATAACTTCTCTAAAGTAAAAAATCAGCAGCCTTTAAAACACCCTGATTATTTCACTCATATTTATAATCAATTGTTTTACCCTTCAAATGAAATGACAATAAATTTCCCAAGACTGAATTTAGGTTTACCCTTCTTTTTCTTCTGTTGTTTCCTAATATTTTTATACAGTACAACAAAATGAGACATTTTAATTAGTTTTTATGCTAACCACATTTGCCAATAAACAAATGTGACTATAATACCATGAAAATGGAAAATCTGCTTCCTATAAAGAATATAAACATGTTCTTCCACCCCCCCAAAATCAGCCTAAAATAACAATACTAGATAAAATCCAAACATCATTTTTACCAGGAATTTTTCAATCTTGTTATGCTAAAGAGAAGACTCTCAAGTTGATGAGAGGAATTTGGAGGTTTGAGTTTGCTTATTAATTGTATATCCTATGAAAGTGCAATTACTATTCTTTAACACCTGGAAACGAGCAGCAGAATTTCAATGCTTATTGATCTCTCCTGGCTGGATCAAAGTGGAAAATCACTGATGAAAATTTTTTCTCCCACATGGGTCAATTACAAATAGGAAATAGCTTTTTTAAAATTCTCATTACACTTTTATTTTCTTACTGATTTCTCTGATGGTATCATCTACCACTTGCAGCTGAGAGAACATAAAATCTTTACTTTTGATTCATATTTGTTAACTATTATTTAAATACAAAGATTTTTAATTTGGTGTCTTATTCCAATCATTCTTTTTTTTAAAAAAAAAAAAGAATAGGAATAGCTTTTCATGCTAGAAATATTTTCCCCACTTAATTAGTATTTTTTGTTGCTGAGTGGAATAGAACATTGGATCATAGGAAAGGGGTGGGCTTCAAAATTTTTAGCAAAGGGTTCTCTGCCCAGTTGATGGGTGGGTGTGGCCATGGTGGGCATGGCTTAGTAGGCCTCCTGCACCATGATGGGGGGCATTTTCCCACTTCCCTGGCAGTGGTGGGATTCAAAAACTTTTACCACTGGTTCGGTGGGCATTGCTTGGTGGGCACACTTTGTGTGTATGCACATACTTTGCCTGCACATGCACACCAAACATGCACTTTGCGCAGGTGCAAAGGCATTTGCGCAGGCGCAAAGGTGTTCCAACTCACCTCCTGCAAGCCTGAACTCTCCCGGTCGCTTCAGCAGCTGCCGTGTGGCACTCTTCTGTGCCATGCAAAGCAGATGCACTTCAAAAGTAGAAGATAAAAGTGAGTATGGGAGCCCAGGTGGGCGGGCCCAACAGCAGAGCAGCGGAGAGAACGAGTTTGGTCTCGCTGCTCATCGCCGCTACCGGCTTGGCAGAACAGGGCCAAACCGGTAGCATACCACCACTGTTCACCGGGCTCCAGGGGTTTTCCTTGAGCCTCCAGGAAGCTGAAAATGGCCTCCCCAGGCTCTGGAGGCCCTTTGGAAGCTGGAAACAGGCCCATTTCCAGCCTTCCTGAACTTCCAGGAGACCTATTTTTCATCCTCCCCAAGCCTCCGCCCCAAGCCTCTGCATCTAAAACAGGCTGCGTAGGGATTCCTGGGTGGGGAGGGGTGGGGTGAGCAGGGCCAGCCAGGAGTGGGATTTGGGGATTCTCTGAACTGCACAGAATCTTAGCTAGGGGCTCTCCCGAACCCCTGCAAACCCCCAGCAGCCCACCCCTGGAAGAGACCTTGGAGGTATTCTAATCCAACCTCTGCTTAAGGCAGGAGACCTTATATCATCTCAGTTGTTCTGCCTAGGTTGTTCTATTTTTTTAAAAAAAATTCTCCCATGATGGAGGACCCACAACTTCAGGAAACAAGCTATTTCATTGATTAATTGTTCTCACTGTTCAGAGAGTTCTCCTTACTTCTAGGTTGGATTGAGAAGCTTCCAGCTGTGGGTGTGCATGGGGGGCACGGTTTTGTATTCGCAGAAATCTCTATTTGTAAGCTGTATTTGACATCCAGATTCTATAGGACTTGATCTTCATTGCAACATGTTCATTCACTACTGAATGTTTGAAGTAGCATTTAATTTTTGCTTCATACACCCATAATAAGATATCTAGCCTACTTTATAAAGTCTGCTGTTACATGAAAACATATAAACTGTGTAACCGTTACACTCATATTTTGTCCCTTTAAAAAAAGCCGTACTTCTTATAAACCTATCTGTTGGCAGGTGATGAAATATCAAGGTGATCTATTTGGGACTACCCTTGAAAACCACTCAAAAGCTGCAGTTAGTCTAAAATGCAATTTACTTGCATTCCAAACTTGTGTTGTTTTTCAGCTGTTGAGTGAGATGTTTAGCGACAGCAGTGTAACTGTTACTCATATGATAAATATATCTGCTTTGGATACCCAAAGAATGCAATGGCACCTGTAGTTGCGGGGGGACCTTGCTACATCCATGCAACACCACTACTTCTTGAGCTGTACTGACTCCTATTAGGAGTAACGTTCAAAATGCTAGTTGTTACTTACACCACCCTTCCTGGTACAGGCCAGATTATCTGCCTTTCTCCAATTATTTGTATTTGTTCCTGAAACCCAACATCCATCTTTTATAGTTCATCTTTTCCCAACTTTTTCCATTATATTTAGCTCCTGTACAATAAAGAAAAGATTGGGGGAAGCTAGTGAAAACCATGTATATTTTTAAAATTTTAAACAAGTTCTAAATGTATGTTTCTGTATTTGGATAAAAGTTTCCCTCTCTGTACGGCATGTTTATTTAGCACCATAATAATGTACCATTTTAAAAAGTGAACTGAAAAGAATTAGCAAAATAGCTCTGGATTCTCTCCACACCCACTTCTTTCCTCAAACAATGCTAACTCAACTTTTTAACAGTATTATCTATTTTAAACTCCATTTATTTTTCTAAATAGGAACGGGCTCGGATTTGTCTGATCTATTTGGTTAATCAGCTGGCCAACATGGAACATTCTTTCCATCATATCATTTTGTTGGAGATCAAATACATCACTGATATCTTCTCCAACATCTTGGGTATCCAAAGCAGAGATATTTATCGTATGAGTAACAGTTTCACTGCTGTAGCTAAACATCTCATCCAACAGCTGAAAAACAACACAAGTTTGGAATGCAGGTAAATTCAAACCTCTCAACTTTTTATTCTAAGATCCTATGATGTAGCATTTTAATATTTGTGATAAGCTAAAAGACGCCATGTTTATATTTAATATATTGGTCCAACTATCAGAGAAACTAGCCCAAAATATTTGGTTGCCAACCATAGGCTGGTGAGAATTTGTGTTCGTGGTATAAATGTGAGAGTGATCCAGTTGCCACATCTGTCATCGCTTTGCTTGCCAGAGTTAATTCAGCTGATTTGACTGGGTAAGCAGGTGTCCCCTTCCTCTTTTATGGCTTCATGTGCCTCAGTCTCAAAGGTTGGTAGAACACAGGCATCCTACATTGATGACAATACCATTCTTCGGTGAAAGATAACTGTGAATGATAGCTGAACAATCCTGCAAGAACCTTTCAACAAGCTCCCCCAAATAGCCAATTGCAAGAAAGGGACAGCTATCTCATGGCAGAGACCTAAAGTTATTTTATTTTATTTGTTATTTTTTTTATTTTGTCAAGCAATTATAAGATAACAGGTATAAGTATAAACATAGTTATGAATACATGAAATGGATACATATAAGAAAAATAAAAAGAATCAATTTCTTACAGAGAGTTTTGAAAATTAGACCAATGTATGTCTGAATTTGTGTTCATCACTATAGTCATATATGCTACTGTATATTTATTTATTTATTTTTTATTTATTTATTTATTTGATTTGCCAATTGTTTACAAGATAATAAGTATAAATGTATACATAGTTGTGAATACATGAAATGGGTACATATAAGAAAAATAAAAGAATAAGAGAAACAATAGGACAGGGACGGTAGGCACGTTGGTGCGCTTATGCACGCCCCCTACAGACCTCTTAGGAAAGGGGTGAGGTCAATAGTAGACAGTCTAAGGTTAAAGTTTTTGGGGTTTGGGGAAGAAACTACAGAGTCGGGTAGAGTATTCCAGACATTGACCACTCTATTGCTGAAGTCGTATTTCCTGCAATCAAGTTTGGTGCGGTTTACTTTGAGTTTGTATCTATTGTGTGCTCTTGTGTTGTTATGGTTGAAGCTGAAGTATTCATTGACAGGTAGGACATTGCAATGTATGATTTTATATACCATGCTTAAGTCAGACCGAAGACGGCGTAATTCAAGGTTTTCAAGTTCTAGAATTTCAAGTCTGGTGGCATAAGGTATTCTACAACGAGTAGAGGAGTGGAGAACTCTTCTTGTGAAATATTTCTGGACTTTCTCAATTGTGCTAATATCAGATACGTAGTGTGGGTTCCAGACTGATGAACTGTATTCGAGTATTGGTCTAGCAAATGTTTTGTATGCTCTGGTTAGTAGTGTGATATTACCAGAGAAAAAGCTACGTAGGATTAGGTTAACAACTCTTAATGCCTTTTTGGCTATGTAGTTGCAGTGGGCTCTAGCACTTAGATCATTAGAGGTGAGTATTCCAAGGTCCTTTACAGAGCTTGAGTCATCAACAAGATCTTGACTATTCAGCTTGTATTTTATTTTCTGATTTTTTTTGCCAATATGTAAGACAGAGCATTTATTTGTTGAGATTTGAAGTTGCCATTTGTTTGACCACTCTGATACATAGTCAAGATCTTTTTGTAGGGTAGCAGTATTGTCTGTGGTATTGAACAGCTTTACATCATCAGCGAAGAGAACGCAATTGCTCTTAATATGATCACAGAGGTCGTTTATGTAGAGTATGAAGAGAGTTGGTCCTAGAACACTGCCTTGGGGAACACCACTATTGACAGGTACTGGATTTGATAGTACGCTCCCGATTTTGACCATTTGTTGTCTGTTTGACAGGAATGCTTCTATCCAGTTATTCACTTGTCCAGAGATACCATAGGATTTTATTTTTAGGAGTAGTTTGTCGTGTACCACTGAATCAAAGGCTTTACATAAGTCTATGTAGATTGCATCTATTGCTTTGCCCTGGTCGAGTTGTGTCGTCCATATGTTTTTGCAGTGTAAGAGTTGCAGATTACAGGATAGTTTTTTTCTGAAACCAAATTGTTTATTGGAGAGTAGGTTATTTGTCTCTAAGTGAAGGATGATGGATTGGTTAATAATTGATTCCATGACTTTACAGGTGACGCAGCATAAGGAGATTGGCCTGTAATTTTCAACTAGGCTTGGGTCTCCCTTTTTGAAGATGGGGATGACTGTGGCTTCTGACCATAGGTTAGGCAAGGAGCTGGTTCTGAAAGATTTTTCAAAGATTATGCTTAGAGGTTTGGCTATGGCAGTGGATAGCTTTCTTAAGAAGTAGGCACATATTCCATCCGGTCCAATAGATAGAGATGGTTTTAGGTTGCGTAGTGCTTTTTCAACATTGTCTTCTGTGAAATCGATATGTATTAGATCATTGTTGTTATCTGTGGTACGGCTAGGAAATACTGGGCATGATCCATTGCTGTTTACAAATACTGAGCCGAAGAATGTGTTAAAGATGTTGGCTTTAATGGTGTCGTCGTTGCAGTCTTTACCATCAGGTCCTATCAAGGGAGGGATGGACCTTGAGTCTTTTAGTTTGTTGTTTACAAAATTGTAAAAAGCACGGGTGGAATTGGTGCTTAGAAGGTTTTCCTCTTGTTTAATGTGATAATTGGTGCATTCGGTCTTTATCTGGTGGCATAAATTTTTGTATCGGTTTTTGAAATTGGCAACGTGACCAGATTTGTTTTTCCGCCAGAGTGATCTCTTTTTGGATTGAAGTTTCCTTATTGATATGGGTAATCTGCTTTTTTGTTTTGTTTTGGGAGTTGTTGTTGGTACATATAGTTTGATGACTCTTTTGACTTCAAGTAAAAATATGTTGTAATGGTCTTCAACAGTATTGCATCCAGTGAATAGAGATTGCCAATCAAGGGATGAGAGATCGTTGTGTATAAGATCATAGTTGCCTTTTTTGAAGTTACAATTGGGAATTACATCATTGTGGTGATTTTTGTGTGGACGTATGTTGAGACAAAAGTCAATCATATTGTGGTCGCTACTGGAAAAGGGTTCTTTAGTTTGTATTCCGTAAATTAAATTCAAACTATTGCAGAAGATGAGATCGAGGCAGTTGTTTAGTCTAGTGTTGTTGGTTACTAGTTGTTCCAGTCTGCATTATTAAGTGGACATTCACTCACTTCCATTTGTATATGAAAATACAGTTGTTTATCCACAATAATGTGTACTGGAGAGCTAGGACTATGCAAAGCATTTGAAAGGGTGCTTCGTTCTCTTTGAAGTGATCTGCAGCTGCATTTGTTTGCTTCAGAAACGGCATGTGATTGCCTCTGCATGTGTGTTTGCCCTCAACCACTTTTTCTGGTGGTAACAATAGAATTTTTGTTTATGCATGACTATGCAACAAACAGGAATGGCTTTTCAAGCAGTTCCATGAACTTAAAAAGGTCCCTTAATGGTTCCCAAAGAGGTGCTTGGATCATACTTCTGTGCATTATTGAACAGTCAGAGTTGAAACACCATTTGTCTAACTACTACATTTTTCCATATCAGACAATATTTACTCATGTTTGAGCATATATAGATTTCAAGTTCCAGAGACTAAATTTTAAAATAGTTTTTCCCAGATTTTTTAATGTAGGTGAAAATTCTGTAATGCAAGTAGTTTTCGTTTGGAATCTTGAAATAAAATCTTTAACAGAACAAGTGCATAATTTGCTGCAGAATTTCATAGCTACATCTTCATTAACAATCAAAATAAAAGTTCTGTTTTGATATGTTATATTGGCTGGCTTTAATTGTGAAATATAGAGAAATTGCTCCTTATATGAATTTGCCCACATTAAGAATAAAACAGAAGCGGGCATAAACTTGCAAAAATAAGGATTATATATGTACATATACACCTAATATAATACAAGTCATTTAAATTAAAAGTGGAGGTTATTTCTAAAATTTACTTCATAGCAAATTTCAGTAGTTTTTTAATGCTAATATAGCAAATAATGAAATCTCTTGAGATCAAAACTTCAACAGCGGTTATTTTGAAATTAGCTGGAAGGGCAGTTTTTACCTTCCCAGCTTATCTAAATATTTTCTAGTGTAATATTAGAGTGGTACTTTGGTACTCATAATTAATTGGTTCCAGGATGAACAATGAGTATACAACTAAATTTTCTCATAAGGAATAATGTAATGAGTCATAATGCAGCCAACACTAACAAGTTCTAGCTTGTGTGTTGAGTACTAAACCAATGATGAGTAAGGTACAAAATTTTCATATCAAAATGCGTTGAGTATCAAATTGGATGAGTTTCAAAGCAGTTGAGTACCAAGGTATTGCTGTATGAATGAATGACCAAAAGCAAGGTTTCACCCATAAATATACTCCACCATCAATAATTTTTTATCTTTTTTTTAAACAAGTTTTATTAATTTTTTCAAAAACAAACAAGTCATCATTAGCCATTACATACTTAAACCTTTTTCCATTATAAATTTAACAAGTCAGATAAAACCTTAATTCTATTTTAAACCATTTCCATAAAGCATACAAAAACCTCTTATCCAGTTTCTCTTTACCTCTCTTTACTCTTATTCAGTTTCATTATTATTGTTTCATCTATTTCTTTCTGACTTGACCACCATCATTCCCATTCTATACTTCTGCAAGGTTCCACTAATTCTCCCAAAAACATAAACACACAACACATATAACATAAAAGAAAAACAAAAAAAAATCTTTTAGGAAAGTAACTTGGCCCCAGATATCTCTCTCTTCATGAACTTCAATTATATTCATGCTCATCTTACATATCATTACTTATTTTATCTACCTTGAAAACCTTCCGGTTTGTCGGCTTCGCGAGCGGCAGGGATTTGCCACTGCGCGATCCCTGCCGCGCTAGCCGTTTTTGGTGCTCCGATCCGGATGGGTTCGGAGCTAGGCTACCCTGCAGGGGTAGCTGAAGATAGGGGGGATCCGGGAAGGGGTTTGGGGGTGTTGCAGACCCCCTCCCCGGCCGGCAGA